AATGTCATATTGTTTAATGATACGGCGAGACCGGTGATACTATCTCTGAGCAATCAATTATGACTTGTGCATGATTAGCTTGACCTCATCATCACCCTTAGCCGTGCTGCATGCCTCACACATCACAGCTTACTCACACTCCCAGCTATTGAACCATGACAGCCATGTCATCCAAACAGATTGCATATCATTCGTGGCCACATCTCTCTCTCTCTCTCTCTCCCCCCCTGCTTAAACAGAGGCAGCAGGAACTAATTGGGAAGGGACAGTCATGCCAGCATGACCAAATGTCAGATGGTGCTGGCCACTACTGAAAGAGCCAATGATGAGGACCAGCCAGCAGTGAAGCAGAAACCAATAGGGGATGGCATTCTCATACTGAATCCTTCTTCCCAGCTGCCACGTCCTATCCATTCGGCAACGTCTTCTCACTAAGAAGCTACAAGTGGTGTTAGCTTTCCCCACGCCCCCCACCTTTTATCCACTTTTCCCTCACCATAAACTGACCCTGCCACTGTTTCCTTCCCATATCCAAGGGGTGCAAACTGACTAAGCAGTGGGTGAACAAAGATGACAGTGATGAAGAAGACACAGCACACCCACTTGATTTTGCAATTGCAGACACCAACACAGGTAACTCCTAACTTCTAGGGGGAATAGAGGTGGATCTGCATGTAGTCAGATACAGACTTAACTGCATTGCAGCCAGGGCAGTGGACAAGAATAGTGGTGGTGCCAGTTCACCTGAAAGCCAGGTTGCAAAAGAAGTTCTGTTACACAGCTTTTTAATTTGAACTTCAATGTTACAAGCTAAGCTAGAAGACTTATGAACGCACACAGCAGAATATTTTGTACTCAAGGAAGCCTCCTTACAAAAGCCTGTTTACACGGCAAAGGAGTGTTGAATGATCTAATGGAAACTTGGCACAGGGCTTTGATCAGAGCTTGGACCTTACACGGTGGCCATATCTGTCTTTGCATGCGTGGATCCAATCACGATGCAGCACCTGATGCCCATGTCCCAGCTTCCATTGCATCACAAACCGTTTCCATCACAACCCAAGTGCTTCAGTGGAAAATGGCTGCTACCATCATGGCTATGGATACCAGTGTTCACAGCTGTCCAGAAATCTGTCCTCCAACACACCCGTAGGAGTACTGAGGTAGCATCAGCAGCTGTCTTCTCTTAAAAGGTCATGCTCCACCAACACCACTCGACCAGTGCCCTGGATGATGCCTATCAATGCCCATGCTGACTTGAAGCAGCTGCAACTAGAGGCTCGAGGGCTCAGAGCTGCTCGAGCACATGGCCCAAGGCCAACAACATTTCCTTCTATCACCCATGCTGCAGTCACCCGGCAGCAAGACATCAGAATGCTAGGACCTTAAGGATTCCAAAATGGCAACCACAACATGCAAGTACATGCCTGATGACATAAAAGGAGCCCATGTTCACTTACCATCCTCTGAAATATGTGAAGCATGCAGATCATGACACTGGTCAGCTTGCGACACTGATTTGCAACACCAGCAGCTCCATTTGGTGTCCCACACTTCATGCTACACTTTTTTATTAAAACCTTGCAGAGCTGAACACATGTTTAGGAGCACGAAGGAAGCCACACCAGCACTGTTTAAAGCGATCATCAACAACTTACAGATTATTTGCTGGTTGATTACTTCTGGCTGTTGCTACAATTCTGTATTTTCTTATGCTTCCTACACTTGAATCAAGTTTCAAAAGTGAGTGGCGCATGCTGACTTCACACCTTCTGTACAAACCAGTTGCTCCCAGTCATGGGTGCACGGATGGCATTCCTCTTAAAATCGAGCAGGATCGGGGGAACAGAAGCCCGGAAGCTACTAAAAGTGGGGAGAGGAGCATCAGGAGGCAGCAGCGGCAAGAGGGTGCCATTTTGGAATTCTGCTGCCCAATTTCATGCCCACATGAGAAGATACTAAATATTAGAAAATATTGCACAGAAACCTTGGGTGAACAGAGCGGGTAGGCATTAAACAATTCCCAAAATCACAGTATTTGAATTGCAGCAATTTGTAGAACTATGCCACAGTTTAAACATCTGCAACTGAGTCAATTTTATTCCAGAGAGAGGGAAGGACACTTTTTATGATTTTTACCTCACTAGTACACAGCCATCACTTTTAGACACCTGTCGCCAAAACACTGGTGTAATACTTGATTGTAATGTCTCAGTTGCAAAGGTATGTGCCAAATGAGTACGTGGCTAACCTTTGCACACTTTCCACGAATATATTGTGCATCAACAGGTAAAACTTGATCAGCAAAATCAAAGTTACCTGCTCAGTTTTCTATCAAACTGTGAGATGCTTGGAGAATTATTGCTGTCAGCATCTTGAGTGATATCGGTTACAACAAGGAAAACAAGAACTCCATTAAAAAAAGCATGCAGCTAAACACCTTCTAATGCCAGTGTTTATGAATCATCTTTCTATTGTGGAAATTCTTCAGAATCAAAATGTGGACAAAAACATTATGTTGGAAGAACCACATTTGTTGCTTCTTACAAACATGGTAAGTAGAAATCATTATAAAAAGATATAGATGGAAAGACAAGTCATGATCTTAAAGACAACACTGATACTTAAAAATAGGGCAGACTTTCCTCTCTGGGATGCTCTTCTGCCTGACAGACATGACATCCACAATAGGAAACTACTGAATGCTTTATGCACCTGGTCATTGGTCTGGCTTGGGCAACAGATCCATTGGAAGTAGAGGTCATTGCAGGACCTCTTAGCCCTGCAATTACTCCTGGTAAGAGAAATCAGGACCCTCTGGTGACAGTGTCTACCAGAGGCTTCCAGAACGTGGAAACTTTCCTCAGAATGAACTGGTTAAACATGATCTCCAGATTTTTGGCCTGTCCAAAGGATGCTATGTGCAGGGAAAACCATTGCTTCAAAGCTGATCAAGTGTTCATTTGATGGGTCACTTATTGAGAATATCTGGAAAAGCAATGACCTGGGGGAAGCAGTTTCACATCAGTACGTTGATAATACAGTGTGTATTCCCATATGTAACTTGAAGAAGTTTTAGGAAATCCCAGGGCAGCGCAACATGAGTAGTTATTACGTTTTTATGCTACTTATCATTCTTTGCACAACAGAAGCATCTCTCTTATCATGCGTCTCAAATCCTCTCAGCTAATGCCAATCCTTGACTTAGTGTGATTCAGAACAGACAGCTTAGCATAATCCAGACATGCTTTCAGAGTGGATCTACTTACAGCATTTTGAGAATTTCCACGTAGCAGCTGAGGACCCGTTCAGCCTGTGAGCTCAGTTCAATGACCATGGTGCTACAGGTGGGGCTGACCAGCAAGCAGTCAATCAGGCTGGGTTCACTGTCACTGTTGCTGCTACTGCTGCTGCTGCTATTGCTGTTACTACTACTACTGGTGCTTCCTTTCAGTTTCTGATTAACCATGTTGCTCCGTTCCAATTCCACGTGGATCTCGGTTGAGTTCACAATGATAGATTTCATCCTGGCGTCAGTAGTGACCTCCTGTGACACGAGGTCAGGACTGCTATGCAGTAGCCGGAGTGGCAGATTTGGCTTCCGATCACACTGTTGCTGACAACCATTACGTATTTCCTTCAGGCTGGGCGAGTTGTCACGACTATAGAAGAACACAGAGAATTGTATGGGCTATTACATATATCATTAGCTATTTGATTCTACCTTCAACACAAAATGCTGAACAAGTACCAGAAGCGGAAATGTGTGCAAATGTATTAAGTTAAATATTTTCCATCTACTTTTAGTCCTCTTTTGAGTTTCTCTAAAATTATTGGCAACAGTCCTCTCTGATCTACTGGACTTTGCTCAAAATCCAGGACACTTTGCAAACTTACAGAACAAAGAGGGTTCAAACCATTTGGTTAAGAATCCTCTCACTACAGAACAGATCTGCAACCATAGCTTTTGCATTGTTGATGCAACTCCATGGAACACCTGTCCTAGTACCTTCCTTGTGTCATAGCTTTCATCACATTTTATGTGCTCTTCAATACAAGCCTGCCTGGACCTTGCACTGATTCCCTGGCTGTTGGAATGCATGATCGGGTTGCAGATTCCTACTTAACTTGAGAGGATTATATTTCTCTGTGGATCAGTCACCCTGACCAGCAGACACACGCTTTGGATTTTCAATCTCTGATGCAAACGCACATTCTGTCCTTTAGCTTTGAGGATGAAAGGGCATATGCTATACTTTAAAGAAGAACAGACTTCATCAAAAGACATCTGGCAAGTAGTTTCTTATTTCTGGAAGTTGAGCCATGGATTAATTTCATCATGAAGATGTATTTAAATGCAAGGAAGATTTTTGAGATCACCTCAATCTCACTGTATTGCATGTTTGGTAACACCAAATAATTTTTAAGAAGCCATTAACTTTTGCAACTCATGAGATTGTTTTTATTTATTGTGAACGCCCAGTAGATCTGACAGTATCTATGTGAGAGAAAAATAGAGTGAACATTTCATCTTCAATAAACTGTTCTTGCTTCAATTAGATTGTATTCGCGTTTAGCAAAGTACTACTTGGAAGATTGGGGAGGTCAGAGCTCCTAGTCAGCGTATTGAGATAGTGCCTCATTATTAAATCAATCCTATTCTGAGTTAAAACTTAAATAAACATCAGACATTTGTACAAACCTGTTTATAAACTCTTCATAACAAGAATAAATGGCAGCTAAGCAGACAGCTACAAGGTTTGGTAGGACTCTTGGATGGGGACACTGGCCAGTTGGACCATGCATACTGTAACATAAAAATATGTGAAACCATATTTAGCTCAAATCAGTTTTACGGTTTAAATTAAATATGTAACTAAAATGTTTGAGTGTTTCTAGAAAAAAATGAAATCTAAAATGTCATTAAAACAAATAATAAATAATATAATTGAGTAAGCAATACCCTGGTCAAGTAATTTGGATAGGACAGTTTTATTTTAATGTAAATGATATGTTCTTATATTATTCACCTAAGTTTAAGAATTGTCAAGTCATTTCAACAGTTAGTCAGGAAGAATGTAAAATTGTGGATACCTGTGAATGAATTTCTTCACCACTTCCATTCCAGCATTCAGTTCATTTAAAGCAAGAATATACTCCTGAGTGAAAAGTCTCAAACGAGGACACTTGCCAAAATCCTGAGGAAAGGAGAATATAATGTTGTTTGGTTCATCAATATCTAGTGCCACTTAAACAACAGCGCAGCTCCACTAAATACCTCATCAGAGTGCTGCAAATAAACCTAACAAGATGCAAGATACCAAGTCTGTAAAACATAAATGATTTAATGTAGAAAAGAACAACAAATGCTGGAAATACTGAACAGGCCTGCCAACATTTTTAGAGATCGAAAGAGTATTTACATCCAGGTTAATGGCTCTTGTTTATTTTTCAGCATTTTCTGCTTCCCTCTCAGTTTTCAGCATCACAGTATTTTGCTTTCTTACTTAATATTAAATCCCATACTATAAAATAATAAAATATAATAATAATAATAATAATAATAATAATAAAATAGACATAATACAAAAAAGGAACTTGACAGTAATCTGGAAATGTGGCTTTCTTGACTTGATATCTTTGTGAAATGGTCAAGATCACCAATTCAAAATCAGAAAACAAAGCAGGTAAAGGTTCACTTCAGGTGATATTTTTCCAAAATCTTATTTTGTAGAGTTACTGAAAAATTGATGTTACAAATGACTGCCAGTCATGCTTTCTCTTTCAACTTTGATACTATTCTTCTGTATCTTTGTTGATGACAATTTCATTGGCTTATGTTGCACTGAACTAGACAGACATGGTTCCCAGTCCCAGTCCTAACTAACGTCTCACTCAGCTCAGAAGTGAGGATGCTGTAATTGAGTTCAATGTCACTCAGACATAATGGAAGAAACTCTGTTCCTGATTTCTATTAGTGACCTTGTATTCTCATGTTTTACATTAAATGGGAACAGGTTTTAGCTTGGTTGTGACATCCCCACAATTAGTCTGCTGTCAAGCACTCTTCAGACTTGCACATGAAGGACAGCCACTTGTGAAGTGCACCAGAGGGTGCTAGGTGATTAGGGAATCGTATCTCAGGATGTCAGACCCTTCAGCAGAAGAGAAACGGAACTGGAAGAACTGTTCTTAGATCACACAGTTGCTGCCATTATACTGGGCCAAAGAAAGGGTCAGTGCCAAATGTCAAGAAGCAGCCAAATAAATTGTACAGCAAGGTTAGGCTAAGAGTACAGAGCACACACAATGGTTATCTTTTATGAAAACCATTGACTGATGTGGCACCATCATCATTAACATCATTTGAAAAGACTTTCAGGTTTTGCATGATAACTTAGGCAAAATGCCATTCAAAAGTTACCACTTCTCAAATCCTTTAAATAAATATCTGCCTCAATAGAATTCAAAATATATTAACCAGCATTTGCTTCAGTTAACATAGATTCCTTTACCACACACCTCATGAGATATCAGTTCCATTCATTATAAAAAACATTTGGAGTGAAATTAAGCCAAAATTGATTTGTTAGTATTTAATGATTGTGTTTCTAATGGTTCTGAAATTCTTACATTACAGGCATTGGTGGCCATTAATCAAATCAGTGTGCCAAATAGAGGACTGACCAAGTTAACTATTAAGTATCAGATCAACACATTCAAAGAAACAAATTTGTTTTCACCTAGTCTTCTTAGAATTTGAACATTGAATTAACAATTTCTCTCCAAATGATTTTCAAAGTACTGGAGTTCATTCTTGTGCTAAAATTACAGAAAATTCTCAGAAGAGATTGAGACAAAAGCATGTACAAACTTTCAGTCCATGTTGAAGTAAACTGCTCTTTTAATATTTTTTCCTAAGTTATAAAAACTGCAGTGAACAGTTAGATGAAACTATTTCTCTAATATCAATTTAAAAATGCTATTTACTATTTCTATGCAGGATCTCCTTTAACTCTAGAAACATGTAACCATATAGAACATAGAACATAGAACATAGAACATTACAGCGCAGTACAGGCCCTTCGGCCCTCGATGTTGCGCCGACCTGTGAAACCAACCTGAAGCCCATCTAACCTAAACTTTTCCATTATCATCCATATGTTTATCCAATGACCATTTAAATGCCCTTAAAGTTGGTTGCACCATAACTCAGAATATAATATACATACCTTCTAATACAACTGAAAAATATATTTTTAACAAAACTGGGATATGAGTGAAATGGTAACTCTAAAATTGAACCGGCGGCATCTTTTCATCATGTCAAAAGAATACGCAAAAGTACAAGCACGATCACCATGCCCTGTGTTCATGGACAGACTATGGCTGCAATCAGTGGAGGAAAGGCACAAATTAAAATTCCATCTTCATTTAACATTAAAACTGACAGTATCTGGTAACCTTTATTGTGGTTAAATACAGAGAGTCTGGGGGCCCCAGGACACCAAATAACCTAATCGCCCACTGAAAACCAGGGGAAAGTATTAAGAATTAACCCAATCCTACTTTAGAGAAATGCACCTCCCAGGTTTTGCCAATCATAGAAGGTGATAAAGCAGAACCGAAAACTTCGTCCATTCGTCCTTTTTAACTACAGGAAGAAGCCAGAGAGGGTACTGGGGATTTCAAGGTGAATTTAATTCACTTCTGACTTGTGTAGATGATTATGATTTAAATCAAGAGGATTTATCCACTAGGGCCTTAAACAAGTATTTATCACATCATGTCATTTTAGAGTTGATTTAGTATCGTATAGTACAGAAGAGGCCCTTCAGCCCATTGAGTCTACATAGACAAAAACTACTCTAAGTCTACACTAGTCCCACATTCCAGCACTTAATCTTAAATGCTATGACATTTCAAGTGCTTAGTAAAAGTTCTGTTTTGAGGTTTCCACCCCAACTACTCTCCCAAGCAGTGCATTCCAGAGCCCTCACCATCCTCTGGATGAGAAACATTTCCTCAAATCCGTTCTAAACTTACTGCCTTTCACCTCAATATTATGCCCCCCCTCATCATTGACCCTTTCCATGTCCCACATAATCGTATATTGCTCTATTAGGTTACCTCGTAGCCTTCTCTGCTCTAAAGAAAACAATCTGACTCTCTTCATAGTTAAAATGCTCCATTCCTGTGAACACCCTGGTGAATCTCCTCTGCCCCCACCCGTGCAATCACATCCTTCCAATAGTGTGGTGACCAGCAATGCACACTGCACTCCAGCTGTAGCCTGACCAAAGCTTTGTATAGCTTTAACATAACCCTCCTACTCTGATAATCTGTGCCATGACTGATAAAGACATGTGTCCCATATGCCTTAACTACTCTATTAATCTGTCCTGCTGCTTTCAGGGGTCTGTGGAGAAACACCCAAGTTCCAGCTGTAAATCTGTGCTATATACCGTCCAAGAAATCCGCCCCCTCTAAACCCTTAATGCCAGCACAATCCCAATTAATGTTGGAGAAGTTGAAATCCCCTAATATAACTATCCTATTATTGTTTTTACACACTTCAATGAATTATCTACGTAACTGCTCCTCTATTGAGCACCAACAGTTTAGGGGTCTAAAATTCTCCCTTCAACGCGGTGGCCTTCTTTTATTCGTAAGCGCTACTCACAAACCTCATTTGAAGACACAAGATACTGTCCTTCCTTACTGCAGTTACTCAATCCTTAATTAATAATGGGACACCAACTCTTCTTTTATATTCTCCCTCACTATGCCACAGAATATGGAGTTGCCAGCCCTGGCCCACAACACCCAAACCCCAAAAAGAAATTCTGTTTTATAGAGTCATACCACACAGAAACAGACCCTTCAGTCCAACCAGTCCATGCCGAACATAATTGCAAACTAAACCAGCTCCACCTGCCTGGTCCTGGCCCATACCCCTCCAAACCTTTCCTATTCATATATCCATCCAAATGTTTTTTAAACTTTGTAATTGTACCCGCATCCACCACTTCATCAGGAAGTTCATTCCACATGCAAACCACTCTCTGGGTAAAAAGTTTGCCTTGTCTTTTTTAAATCTCTCTCCTCTCACCTTACAAATATGCATCCTAGTCTTGAAATTCCCCATTTTAGGGAAAATACAACTACCATTAACATTATTTTATAAACTTCTATCAGGCACCTCTCAACCTCCTAAGCTCCAGTGAAAAATAGTCCCAGACTATCCAGTCTTTCCTTATAACTCAAACCTTCCATACCTAGCAACATCCTGATAAATCTCTTCTGAATTCTCTCCAGCTTGATAATATCCTTCCTATAACTGGGTGACCAGATCAGCAACATCACAATTCCACCTGTCAATCCATACCCTTAGCTCATCAGTCTTACCTATAATATTCTTAGCATTAGAGGCCATTCAATTTCACCTTACTCCTTTGAAACTCAACATTGCTGAACTCCCTATTCCTTGGTTCCTTTACTAAAGTCCCTATTGCACAAACAGTGCATTCTTTTCCCTTGCCAAATTGGATAATTCCTTCCAACATCACTATCAAACTCATCCACAGGGATGACAGTACCATTCCAGATCAGTTGCACTTTCCCCAGAATCTGTGCCGGAAGTCCAGGAATCTAAAACTCTTCCTCTGTCACCAACTCTCAAGCCATACATTCATCCTCCCTATTCTCCTACTTCTGCACTTGCTAGCATGTGGCACTGGGAGTAATACAGAGATGACAACTTTGAGGTCCTGCTCTTTTGTCTACTACCTTGCCCCTTAAGTTCTTCAGGCGGGAACTCATCCCTCATTCCACCTATTTCATTGGTACCAATGTATATCACAATCCCTGCCTTCAGGATGCCCTGCAGCTGCTCAGTGACATCCCCGACCCTGGTACTAGGAGGCCACTCACCATCCTGCAATAATGTCTGCGCCCTTAACTAATGAATCCCCTATCACTATAAACAAATGTATTTATTACAAATTAACAGATAAGAGAATGTGAGCTCCATACTAAATCAATGCTCACAATTGTTATAAAATACATTTGTTCTAAGAACTGACATCTTATTTTGATGACAGTTTGTTTGCATATCACACTTATGCTTGTAGCCTACATACATAGACTTAGCAAAGTCATTTCTACGGCTCACAAGATCACTGTAAAATAAAGTTGG